AGTGACTTGACTGTGGAAGAAGACAACCAGATCGTCTGCTGACGGGATGGCAGAGACCCGGGGTCTGACACCGATGCTGTCCCCGGCCATGTGAGCTCCCTCCAATGGATGCCCACCCCAGAGCCTTAGTTCAGAGCTCTCCTGCGATGCTGCCCGAGCTGTAGGCAAGGAACAGCACCAGTGTGGAAGCCCTCACAGGGCCAACCTGCCAGGTTTCTGCGGGCCACTGGGTCTCCGATGCTGGCGGGCACACCGGGGCAGCCCACGGTCATCGCCCAGGGCAGGGGCTATCCGTGCTTTGCAGTGCTGGGCCGGAGCTGCTGTGAGAGCAACCGTCGGGCAGAGGGAGGTCACAGGAGGGGATCCAGGCAGCTGCTGCACCGTGGCTGAAGGTGGAGTTTTGCTGGGGACGGGATGGAGATGGTGTGGCTGTACATGGTGCTGATCCCCGCGCAGCACATCCTTGCCGTCACCTGGCTGTAAGTATGCTTTGCCCTTGTACTGTCTGGATTGGAAAGTCACCTGGGGAGGTGCTGTCTCCCAAGAAAACAGGCAGATCTGTGAGAAAAGGGTGGAAGAAAGAACCTGGGCAACCCAAAGGCAGCACGTTAGGAGGGGCATCTCTGGGAGCATGAAGGGAGAGGGACGGCGAAGCTGGAGAGCTGCAGGAATGTCCAATTCAACACAGACAAGAGGCGGCACGTCCCCTTCGCTGCCCCATTTCTGCTCTAAAATAAGGTTATAGAGGGCTAGTCCCCCGCAGACATGGCCCTGGCTCCAGCCCATCTGCGACTGAATCTCTCCCCTGCCCCACAGGTACCTGGCCAAGCAGCCTTCTCTGCGGGCGGTCCTCCGGGACCCCGGTGGCTGCGAGGGTCTGATGGGGCTGGTAGAAGAGCAGGTCCGCGTTTGCCGGCGGCAGGTGGAAGCCATGGATGCGGTGAAGCGAGGCGCAGAGCTGGCTGTCGAGGAGTGCCAGCACCAGTTTCACTCTCGCCGGTGGAACTGCTCTACCCTGCAGGGGCTGCAGGTCTTCGGCAAGGTCGCCATCCAAGGTCAGCGAGGGGGAGGCGGCGCAGGCAGAGCTGGCGTGTGGTCCCTTCAGTGTGCCCGCGGGGTCCCCTTGACACATCAGCCTTTCCTGAGCTGGGTTACAAGTGTCACCCTGGGCCCAGCCCCAGAGTGGCCAGCGCCTTCCTCCACACACTAACAAAGATGTCAACAGGGAGCAAACTGAACCAAATGCACGTGCTGTTACAAAGATTAATATTCTGGCTACACTTTTCCCCTGTTCAGCCAGGCTTGGCTTTTCAGTCCCATCTGGACCATTCTGGGTACCAGCTCTGCAGACTGGTGGGTCTTCTCCCCCACCCTGCCACCAGCCCAGCCCTTTGGAGTAGCAGCTCAAATCAAACCTGTTTCTTTGGAGCTGCAGTCCCTTTTTGTTGCAGGCCAGGGAAAAAGAATCTGCCTGTGCCCCCAAAACAGCACGGAACAGATTTTGCATGTGTTTGCACGGGAGGAGCCGTACAGGGAGCGATGAGCAGGGTCCCTCTGGCTCCTAAAGACAAGGTGGCAGGGTCCTCCCTGACAAACCCCTCTGCGTGGGAGGCTCAGTCCCTGGTGTCCCCCACCACGGCTCCCCTTTCACCTCCCCTGGGGGCTGCTGGCTTCTCTCCCTCCATGGGACACCCAGCCCAAGAACTGAGGGTGCCGAGCCGGCAGAACCCCACAGAGCCATCTCTCTTACTGGCTCCAGGCCTCAGGAACAGCAGCACTGGTTGAATGTCCTGACGGCAATTGCTCCCGAGCAGTCTCCATCCGAACGCATCCATCCCGCATGCAGCCACAGCCTCTTTCCCCACCCCCGCGTCCCATCAGCGCCTTCCCTCTCCGTACACCGGTGCCGTTTCTTGCCCTGCTGCAGGCACACGGGAGTCTGCTTTCATCCACGCCATCTCTGCCGCTGGCGTTGCCTTTGCTGTGACTCGCGCCTGCAGCCGTGGGGAGCTGAAGAAGTGTGGCTGTGACCGCAAGATCCGAGGAGTCAGCCCCGAAGGTGAAGGAGGAGGCTGGTGGCAGAGGAGAAGACCCATGGGGGAAACCCTCAACCAGGGGAGGAGACACCTGCCTTCTCCATGGCCCTCAGCCCTTTGGGAGCTCCTCCCAGGGCTTCTCCTTCTTCATCTCACTTTCCCTCCGCAGGTTTCCAATGGTCAGGCTGCTCTGATAACCTGTCTTATGGGATTGCCTTTTCTCAAGCCTTCGTAGACAACCCCGAGAGGAGCCGCGGCATCTCCTCCAGCCGAGCGCTCATGAACCTGCACAATAACGAGGCTGGGAGGAAGGTAAGGGCAGGAACGAGGGCAGGGAAGCAAGGCAGCTTTGGGGGCTTCTCCCTGGCAAGGCGGAGCTGGATGCAGCCCCCTTACCCCGAGGAGCAGCTCAGGGCAGCTATGAACTCCCAGAGGGGGTCTGCGTCCTGCTGCCTTGCCTCAGCCCAGCACTGCACCGCTTACACCTCGCCTGCACAGAGCAGGGTCCCTGCCTCCCCTACTCGCCTCTGTGCAGAGTCCTTTTCCTCGGGGACCCCAGCTGTGATTTACCTTCCTTGGCCTTTTCTGCAAAGGGAACGAGTTTCACTGCTCTGCTCTGAAAGGCTTCCCTGCCCCTCCAGTCCCTCCTGAGCAAAGACACCATCCTCTGTAGGGGCTGCTGTCAGATCTGGTCCCTTGAGCATCCTCTGGCTCTGGGTGGATCTGTTCCCCTTCCCACAGCCCTGGGGGTCAGAGCAGGTCCCTGTTTCTTCCCCTGCCTCAGGGCTTTCTCTTACAGACCCAAGCCAACCTGCTTCCCACTGAATTTTCCTTCTGTTTCATATTGGCTTAGCTTAAAAAGACTTTTACTCCCTTTCCTTCAGCCCCATGGGAGGTGTGCAGGGGAACAGTGGCTGCTGGGGGCCTCACAGGCACGGGAGGCGTAGGGCAGGGTGTCCCAGGTCTGGCTGGCAGCTGCCTCCCGCTCCCCAGGCTGTCCTGGCCCACATGAAGGTGGAGTGCAAGTGCCACGGTGTGTCGGGCTCCTGCGAGGTGCGCACGTGCTGGAAGGTCATGCCGCCCTTCCGCAAGGTGGGCGATGTCCTCAAGGAAAAGTTCGAGGGGGCGACAGAGGTTCACCCCAAGCGGGTCGGTTCCCGCAAGCTCCTGGTGCCCAAGAGCTCTCGCTTCAAGCCCTACACAGCTCACGATCTGGTCTACCTGTTGGCCAGCCCAGACTTCTGCGACCGGGACCCCCGGCGCGGGGTCTTCGGCACCTCCGGCCGCCAGTGCAACCGAACATCCCCGGCCATGGATGGCTGCGAGCTCCTGTGCTGCGGCAGAGGCTTCCACACGGCCCAGGCGGAGGTGGTGGAGCGATGCAGCTGCAAGTTTCACTGGTGCTGCTCCGTCAAGTGCAAGCAGTGCCGGCACCTGGTGGAGGTGCACAGCTGCCGCTGAGGGGGAGCGCACCAGGAGGCTGCCGAGGGACTGCAAGGCAGCCGGGGAGAGACACGGGGAAGCAGTGGGGGAGACACAGCCTGAGAGGGAGCAGAGGAGACATGGGGTTTTGCTGCCCAGCCAGAGAGCAGCCCCCAGTGCTGGGGGTGCCATCGGCTCCTGCATGTTCCCCACCCAGCACCCTCTCACCAGCCTCATTGGGCTTTTTGTGGTTTGAATTATTTTTCCAGGCGGAGGGTTGGAGTACACAGGCCCAATAAACCCTTAAACTTTAGAAATAAACCAGCTGCAATGGAAAGCAAAGTGCATACATCAGCTCCGTCCTCATGCGCTGCATTTGGGACGTGGAGGGTACTGGGCTCTGCTCCCTCCCATGGGTTGGGAGGGAATGAGGCCACGCTGGAGTCCTCAAGCTCAGCAGCCACCGGGGCTGCAGTGAGCGAGAAATACCAGGGAGCGGAGCAGGGACCCACCTCGGCCGTGCGAGGGTTTATCAAGGGGTGTAATAGAGCAGCAGCAGAGAGAAAGGGGAAAATTAGGTTTGTGGGTCAAGTGGGCTCTTTATACAATAAGACTCATCCTTGGGAGAACTACGGACTGGTATAGGGCTGCAGGGGGAGGGAGGCAAGAGATGGCTGGGGACTGCAGACAAGGACACTTGGGCCAGTGGATCTAAATCCAGGTTCCCAGGGCTGATGCCTTCTCTGATGCTCAGCTGCTCCTTTGGCTGGAGAAAGTGTTTTCAGGAGAGGTCCCAGCAGGAGTTCCACTGCCGACAGTGCAGAGCAGGTGCTCGGAGGGGGAAGATCTGGCCATGATGAGCTGGCTGGCCAGCAAGGGGTCTGGGAAGAGCTGTCCAAGTCTCTCCAGGCTCTCTGCCCCACCACAGCCCCAGAGAGCCTGCTCTGGAGCCCTGTGCTTCCCACGCATCCCTCTGCTACCGTGCGTCACCCCTTGGTGAGGCTGAGGAACCGCTGGTGCCACAGCCGCACCTCCTCCTCTCCCTCCTCCTCACTCAACACCCGGTACGTCTCGTTTCTGCGGCAGCCGCGGTGAGAC